TCTTCAGTTAAGCAAAAGTCGCTTTATCCAGTGTGGAATGAGATCCTTTCGTTGAGGGTGTGCCCCTCGAACGCTGCAGATAGTGCTCCTCTGCAGCTTGAAGTAACGGTTGATGACTGGGACGATCTCTCTGGCAATGATTTTATTGGACGAGTTGACATCCCGCTCGCCCCACTTCAAGAAGGCAGATCAACACGCCGCTGGTATGTGCTCGCTGACAAACCAAGATTGCACAACGTACTCTCAGCTCCTGCGCTCCCTGCTCTTAAGGCTCGGGAAGGTCTCAATGATCGAGAAAAGCAGAACATCAGCGGCGGGCTCATATCCCGTGGAGAAATTGAACTTGCCGTCCAGTGGCGGTATGCCTGGAGTTCAACACGAATGTGTTTCACGTAGAAGTTCACCGAGGGGGAATCGACCGAGCAAGCGTGCGTTAGGGGTGCCCGGTTGATGATATATCATATTTTTGTCGTTGTCAAAATGGTCTATCAGTGTTGGTACCCCCACACCCGGACCGAGTGCTGGTCTTTGCTGTGCTTGTACCATCTCGGGTCAGCTAGGCCTGGGTCTCCCATACAAAAGCGAGCTCTTGCGGAACAACTGGCTATTATTAGCAAAATTTCTCCCACTGCTTTGAAATTTTGACGTGATTTCAAAGACGCGCGCCCGTACTTAGGTACAATGCATCTCTCGACTATTTCGAGACGCTGGAGGAGCCTAATGAACTCAAAACTCTGCCACCCAATGAGCTACTCGTTGCCTTAATTCGGGCCAGAGGCCTCAATCACTCCGTGCGTGGATATTCTGGTCAAGCAGCAGCAGATCCATTCACGAAGCTTCGTGTGAACGACGAGGAACGTCAGTCAAAGGTGGTACAACGTACTCTCGAACCTCAGTGGAGCGAGAGATATAGAATCCCAGCGGCTGATACAGCTGGCGTAGCCTTGAAAATTAGGGTTTTTGACTGGAATCTTGGCAGTGCATGCGAGTCACTGGGTCATGCCAGGGTAGCGTTGCATCAGTTCTCCGATCGTCAAGCACACCGGCGATGGTTTACGCTCAGCTTTGACGGGGCTGAGGATCATAGTGGCGGAAGCTCGTGTGGGGAAATCGAGTTGGCATTGCGCTGGGTTCATAATTCCGACCTTGCATTTTTTGACTCTAGAGGTGCCCGGGATGGCAATGACGGTTTTCCTGGGATGCGGCCCAATTGCCTTCGCATCGCAGTCATTCGCGCAAAAAACCTGTGTGCAACAGATTTTAGTGGTTCTAGCAACCCATACACTGCACTCTCTGTGCTACTTCGGGATCGCGTCACGGGGGGCAGTGTCGAAAGTTCTGACAAGAAACATCGCTTGAACCACCAAGGGACACAAAAAGTAGAAACGCGGCGAGCTGACTCAAACAAAAGTTCAGATCTGTGCTATAGAAGCAGCCATGCAGTCACTCGAATCGAACAAAGTACACTGGATCCGAGATGGGACGAGGTCCTCGCACTCCCTTGCATGCAGATAGAAGGTGATGAGAGTGAGGGCTCAATGCAGGCCAAGAGCTCAAAACTCTGCATCGAAATTGAGGATCACACTTATGTCGGCGTTTTGGGGATGCTTGGCGCCACAACGATTGACTTAAGCAGTCTGATTGACCGCCGTCGTCGCCGATTCTGGGTACCTCTCCTGGCCAGTTGCAAGGCCACCGATGGCAAACCAATAGCACATTCGCGCGGCAAACTCGAACTTGCCTTACAGTACTTTCGGTGTCTAGACCACGTGCTTTGATTTGACACGGTCCTCTAGGTTATTTTTCAACCCCAAGCTAGAGGCAGAGGTTATCTTAAGGGTGTCCCAACTGCGGGTCTCGAGTAATATAACGTCTCTTTTTGACGTCGGTGATAAGGCATTTTTGTATCTCAACTTGGGTGGGATCGCATTAAGCACGAACAAAATCGTCATGGGGGAGAGCAAGTCTGATGTGCATCTTGATGATGGAGAGATACTTTTATCCGTCACATCCAAAGTCTTGCGAGATGAGCGCCTTTATATTGATCTTTTCCGAGAGATCCGTTGCCGCGATGGGCCTAAGCTAATACTCAATGCTAGTGGGCACACATGGTGTCCATATTTTCACTTAAACACTGGTTCGGACAGAAAGGCATCCCCACAGCAAAGGATTTGCTTACGAACCGCATTGCGTCATGGAAACTGTGACTTTCCCGTATCTTACCTTGAATTCTGCATATCTGCGGACCCTTGGTATCCTGGGGTGGTAAGATCGAGCGACCAGCATCCACTTCCCGAAATATGCCTCGATGTTTTCGACGAAGACGGTGACCAACAGGGCGAACATCTAGGAAGAGCAGCCTTGCACGGGGCTAAAATTCAACAGACATACACACTCATTCAAGCAGGTACGGGGCAACAGGTTGTCGATGGAACGGTGTTAGAATTGCCATTGCGACCTCGATCAGCTCGGGAAGCCACGGCAGCAGCGGTCATAGTACGTGGGACCATATCAATAAACGTATTTGCGGCCAGAAGTCTTGATTTTCTCCAGGACCGGTGTTCGACGCTTGATTCTGAAGTGGCCTCGAGAGCAACCGCGCTTGTCGTTGAGAGATCTGCGATTAGCAAAACCAGCTCTGATATTGTGAGAAGTACCCTCGTCACTATTCTAATGGCTGCTTGGAACTCGATGGAATCTGGTCGCCACCTACTTCTCCATATTGTCAATGGAAGTGACCTGCGTGCACCGAACAGGGAGAAAGAGAAGGAGCGGCGAGATGCTCGCAGCCTTTTGTCACCACGGCCCATTGTTGCAGACGTTGAAGATAATTTCTCACATTTTCCAAATGCGTACTGCGTGGTTCGATGGAATGGTGTCGAAACGGGACGCACTCCCAGCTGTGCGCACACACGCAATCCCTCATGGTGCGCGCATATGCCGCTGCCCCTTCGATCAACGCCAAACAATGTTCCTCTTGTCGAGCTTTCACTTGACATATTCGACGACGAAGCTCCCTTAGATGAGATTCAAGATCATAAGTCAAGTGTGGATGGCGCGTTTGTCGGGAGACTTCATCTGTCTTCTACACAACTTTGGGAGCTTCGTCGAATCACCGCCCTGCGCTTGACTGGCAATGGTTGTGGACACGCTATGCTTGCAGAAAGCAAAGTCGACTATGCCTTATCGCGCCACAAGAAGCTTCCGCGGGATGATACTGCAGGGGTTCAAGAGGATGACGACGAGGACAACAGGCACGCAGGACCACAAGTAACGCTCACAATAAGCGATATGGCGGCAGCCGAGCTTCCCGACACCACGCTTGCCGCCAGACTATTTGGCCGCCTGTCTCGTGCTAAGCAAGCACCATATGTGGTCGTTCGGCTGTGGAATATTGAAGCACGTTCCTCAACGGTGAAGCACGGTGGGACGAGCGTAACTTGGAAGCATGAACGTCACAACTAGAAAATCGGTGTAAAAATCATTTGTTCTCTCAGACTGATTCAGAAATTAGGTCTATCTATGATCGTCGACGAAACTTTGTTGAGCGAAGAGCCGCTATTAATGCAAGTTTGGAGCAAACGGGCTTCGCCTCTACCTGATTATCTGATAGGAGAGTCTCGTGCTCGTCTTGATGCGCTCATCAGTGCCGGTGGGAAAGCAACGCCGACAACCTTCGAGCTTGGTCGCCCAGGCCATCGACAGCAGGGTGTAATTTCGTGCTCCTTGAGCTTTGAACAGCAAGAGGAGACTGGGGCCATGTCGGGGATTCACCAAAAACTCACAGAGGCCTCGCGTGATGCTATTGGCAGCTTGGGCTTGGCTCTGACCATAAATCATGATGCAGAGGCCGCTACAGAGGCCTACGCTGGTGCCCACACCGCACACCTCGAAAGGCAAGAAGTTTTGCGTACTGAGCGAGAGGCAGCAGCAGTCGCCGCCGCAAATAATCGCCTGGATGTGCAAAGTCATTTGTTTATTGAGAATTCCAAAGGAAATGCAAGTAATACCGTCGGTGAAAAATATGGGGGAGAAGCGACCCTGAGGAGGCAGCATTTACCGAAGTTTTTTGATTGCCGTTCGTCCGCCGATTTTCACGGCGGAATAGACCCAATAACGGGTCTACCTTGGAGAATAGATAATGCAGGATGCCGTAGATTCTTTTTGGGACTCCTTCCCAGAGGGCAGGATTATAGTTGACGTGGTGTGTGCAATGTACCAAATGAATCCGAGTTGGCACCTGGATTGCAAAGAATCACCAAAAAGATGGGCGCAGCCGCATCTTGGACTGGTCGGGGTTCATTCACAAGACCCTGTTGTAATATACCAGGGTGAACGCAAGGAACCCAGCGGCCCTGACGGTGCGCACCATGCTTGGCATCCATGCCCCTGACGAAAAATCAGCTTCCCAGCGTTGGCTACTATGGCCCTTGAGACTGCACTTTGCTTGAGACTACGTATACAAGTGCCCCAGGATAGTAAAACAAAGGGCCATGGTGAGATGGAACCTAGAGAGATAGGGGGATTTCTACTCTACAGTCGCCGGACAGTGCACCTGCTGGATAGTAGCTTGACTGGCGTCATCGCGGCGTTAGTGGCCTAGTAAACTATCCCCACTTCCTACATGGAGTGCGGCTTTTAGTCAGGGGCAGGGCTTTTCGGGGCTCTTCGCGAACACCATTGTGCCAGCCAATCTGGGGCGTGGTTGGCCAAGTATAATTGGTTTCTTTAGTGCCCATGAATATTGTTGCCCTAAACAACAAGCTAGTTATTGACATGTACATGTACCTGATTTGTACTTACAATTCGCCATATTTGCAAAATATTGTCGTCCGAAACAGAAGCCAGTATCCAATCGTCTCTTGGGTTCCAGCTTAGGTCAGAGATTTTGTCGTTGTGACCACCGTGGATGAACATGAGTTCATCAGGGCCATCGTCGTGCAAATTAGGGACGCTTGTCTGTCCCGCCCCAATTTTATTAAGATCCCATACACGCACACGCCTGTCCGCTCCACATGAGGATAGTATCGAGGCGCTGAATGGTGCCCATTGCAGCTGAAAAACTTCTTTGGTGTGGCCCGAAAGCGTATGAATGGCTTCGGAGGTGTTCCGAATGTCCCAGACTTTGATCGTTTCATCTGCCGAGCCGGTAGCCAACAAAAATTCATGATGTTGGTTAAATGCTATTGCATTTATATCGGCACAGTGAGCAGCAGTGACCCGTGCAAACGGATCTTGCTGCTTATTTCGTGCATCCCACAAGAGCAGCTGCCTATCATCACCGACTGATCCAAAGACGTGAGGATTATGCGCGTGCCATGATACATCTTCGACAACATCAACGTGGTCCTGCCACGTGCTTAATGCGGCAATCTTCATGCAGGCTTGGTTGATATCCCATAAGCATATACTACCGTCGTCAGAACCACTCAGAAGCTGTCCAGCGATGTGCGGATTCCAAGAGAGACCATAGCCTTCCTTCGTGTGCCCGGTGCACTGATGCTCAGGACGAAAGCTCCCGTCTTTCGGTACTGATGGGTGTTTTGATACGTCAAACACATGAACTTCGGAAGATGGCGACTTGGTGGCCAGAATAAAAGGATTCTGAGGCATGCACCTAGCGCTACAGACAAAAGTTTGCAAAGTGTTTGCACCGTAGAACTCACCGATTCACCTCACCTTGATGGTTTATCTTTATGCAAATTTCAAGCTTGCCGTGCGCTCGATTTTTGTAGACTGTGACACAGATAAGATCCAATGCCGGAGTACGTGGATATGTGAATACCTTTGGTCATATCCATGTCCAAGTCGGGTAGTTTGATAGATGCTATCATTAGATAGTTCTGTTCACCATTCGACGTATGTGTACCAAGCACGAGTTTCTGCGCCACATTCTCAGAACTGCGTTGCCTACACAAATCACAGTGCTCTTTTTGAAATTGATATGGGCCGACGGGTCAGGAATCCACTGTATGGTCAAAGACGGCCACTCAAGAGCGTGTGTCATAATGAGATCATAGAGGAAAGGTGCATTTTTTTTCCATATTTTATATTCTTCGTGTATAACCTTTTGATAATAAATCCACTGATTGTTTATATCAAAGCATCACCTTCATTTGCATATCACTACCATCGGCTGTTTCAATCATTTATGTCAATGAATGTAGGATAATGGAGCTGGGTGTGCCTTCAACATGGGCTCCACCCAGCTCGGGAGATGCTCGGGGACTAGCCTAGTCTAGGACCCCCAGGAAAAGAATAGGGTCGGCTGGATAGAGCTAGGAGAAGATTTTCCTGGGTGCGCTCCAGCGCTCAATAATAGAAGAGGATGCCACGAGCGACAGCCGATAACTCGTCGCAGTCTGCGCTGCGCCATCATACGCAGAAGAGGACTCGATCAGACGCGTCGGTTTCTGGGGGGGGGCTTGATGGCGGTATTATGCGCCCCCCTCATGCGGTTTTTGGCTCCTCGAGTCTGAAGACCACGGGGTTGGGCGGCGCGCCCATCGTATTAAAGTTTTGACTGTCAAGTGAAAGTGTTATGAAATTTTCATGGACACAATACGTGTTGAATGCCGCACAGAGTGGTCAGGTTTGGGCAATGACCGAATTGGCAATATGGCACCTATTCAGGAGAGAGAAATCGATTGCCTACATGTGGTTTGCCTGCGCTAAATTGGCCGATATCGACACGAAGAAACTGAAATGGGAAATACTTGAGCGAGAACCCTTGGAGTATGTTGAAGATAACATATCTAGAGGATCCCTGGCGCTAACTGCTGAATCTTTTGCTCCATATGCTAGCGCAATCGGATCAGGATTAAATCCTGAATGGCCCGACTTGAGCCGTTCAACTTCGAATTTGTCGGCGTATCGTCATTTCAGCATTACCAACGGAAAACAACGATGGGCCAGGCGTGTGCTAGCCAGTCAGGAGGCATTGAAGGTCGTGCTTTCATGTAGGAGCCAGGCTTTCAACTTAGCGACAAAGAGTCTGCTGAGCGGCACCTTATCTTTTGTAGGAGCGTTGCTCGTGATTCGGCGTCTCATCGTGGATGCGTTGTCAATTAGAAATGTACCGATGCCCCTTCTGGAAGGTTTGGATATAGCGCAGCGGAACTTTCTCAAAAGTCTGAGGCTCTTCATCGTCACCTACTGGACCATCGACGGTCCGTTGGCGAGTAGTAGGCACTGCACTCCACCACCGAATTGTGTTCTTGACACTGTACACGCCCTTGCTGCGGCTAAATTGCTCGACGAAGACGTCTTCATCCTTGCCATTAGAATTATGCGCCGGTGGGCCGAGCCCCTGGACGATGCCCAACAGATTGCTAAAAACAGACACTGCCCGGGTAAGGCACTTGGTGAGTTCCGGGACGATATTCCACGCGTTTTGTGGTGTGCCGAACACTGGGTGATTCTCTACAAACCATGCAAATGGGCTGTTTCCTGGTGTGCCAAGATACGTGCTGACATGGTCAAGGTTGAACGCACCTGGGTGATGACACAGGGAGGTTTGAGCGAACACAGGACAATAGCCCCTCTAGATTGTGACCTCGAGCCATTCGGGCCTGGTGATCGACAAGCTAGGCCACGTGATTTATTATTCTGGCTCCTTCGAACCTGCGAGCAGCTCTCCATTAACACTTTGCCAGTGGCCTATCAGCAGCATCCAATTCAGGCGGACCGTTGCCTCAGCTACGGAGTTTCTCACCGTCTCGATGCACAGACATCGGGTCCGCTTATTGTAGCGCGGTCCTACTGGGGATGGGCTTGGCTCCAGCTCCTGTTTCGCACGAAGAGAGTGGCAAAACATTATGTGTGCCTTTGCGACGGTCTCGTGAAGCTGGCGCCTGGCACACTCATTTCCTGGCCGTTAATCCGCGAGGCCATCCCAGGTCGTGTTTCTATGCGTTCGATTGTTTCCTGCAATGGTATGGGCGCCGTCACGGAGATTGCTGCCGTTGCTCATTTACTTGGGCCGCACGCACACATGCATGGGAGTGGCCCACATGGACACTTAGCCGCAAGTAGCAGGAAGTTCAGCACCTGCAGCAGTAGCAGTCATCCGAATCAAACTTGGTACAGTTTGGTTGAGATCCGCCTTTGGACGGGCCGCCTTCATCAAATCCGTGTGCACATGGCAGCCGAAGGCCACCCGCTCGTCTCAGATGTCCTTTATGGTGCTGGACGGAAGTCATGGTGTCCACGCTTTTTCCTTCACTGTTTTTCACTGTGTTTCCGCTGCAATCTTAACACGCCTAGCATCAAAATCACGTGCCAGATGCCAGGCGACCTTCGTCGTGTCCTCAGCATGATGGACGCTTGTGATGAGTTGTCACACAATCTTCTTCTGTCCTGGTTAGGGCGTGGTGGTACTGCGCGGAAAAACGACAGGGTCGGCTCAAGATTTGTTGGTGGTAGATGGTTAGGCCGCGTCACACGAGATGCCGATGGAAGAGGAAAACGCCCAGGCTTTGTCAAGTTTAGGAGCAACGATAGATTTTACACCGTTCCTTTCAGTCATACTTGTATTATTCAAGACAATGGAAATATAAGAGGCTCTTTAGTCCACTTTAATATTTTTATGGCGGGAAACGAGGCATGCGCAATTGACCTGCAATTAAGAGCATAATGCCAAGTTGAGAAGCTTCAGCTTTTCGACGCACTGCCACTTCCCACAAATCCAGGGGTGTGCAGGGCGTGGGAGCGGGCGCGAAGCGCGGCGACTTTTCTGAGACGGTCGCGAGCACGGTGCCGACGTCCGCCACCGAGGGCGCCACGACACGCGTCGTCGGCCTCGGAAAACCCGGCGGGTCTGAGTTCGCGACACAGCCGCCGCCTCGCCGCTCCGCCTCGCGCTTTAGTGCCCCGTCCCCGGTGCTATCCGCTGGTGCTATCCCGCTATGTGTGTGTGTGGGGGGGGGGNCGGTGGGGGGGGGGGCGGCTCCATGCGAAGGCTGCCCAACGGGCTGGCGGCGGTTTGTACGGCCAGCGCGTCCGACAGTCGGACTTTTGGAGCCCGCGCGCGACGAAGACGCCGTCATGGTTTGGGACAAAACCATGACTCAAACGAGACCGTGAAAGATCACCTGCAGAGCACCGTGGGGTAAGGTGCACTGCAACATCAAGGTGCAGTTCACTGAGATGAGGGTGGTAACCTCTCTATCTCTCTAGCCGCAACAAAGACCGGTTGGCCAAGAAATCTTGCCCCGAAGTCTCTCGGACAGTAAGATCCTGTTTGTATGGTCTGTAGTGAGATATTTCCACCAGGTCGCCTGGTCTGGCCCCGGCCCGCCCGGCTTCCACTACGAGACACAAGACCACCAGTGGTAATCAAACAGCCCTGCGAAATAGCCCCCCTTACCCGGCCAGGGTGCTACAAAACAAACACCGCACTCAGGAGTTTTGCTACTCCAACGTCTTGAGCAATCTGAAGAGGCCAGCCGCCTCTCGAATGCGAGAGAACCCGATGCAGAAAGCCTGCACTTCAACGAAAAGATCATTGACGTCTACAATCTTGTTCCTTATCAGAGACTGTAAAAAAACACAGACTAACCGCACTAAGCGATTCTGATAGTACTTGTCATCTATGTTCTCACACGAGGAGATGCAGTTGGAAATATACACACGAATAAATTCGGCGGGAAGTTCAGCCATCCCATCAGTCGTGAGCCGGTTAACTACCTCCATCGAGTGGAGTGACATGTCCATTTTCACAAGAGCGGAGAGGTACTCCGGGAGAATCGGTGATCCCATGAGCTTAAGCAAGCACTGAATGGCAACCATCGGATTATTCTCTACGACT